CCCCTGGGCATCGGCATAATTGCTCTTACGTCCTGGAGCTCTTGCCATGGGGGACAGCTGTGGCACAGGGGAGCTGATACGCTGCCATCCATCTCCGGCATGTTGTCTCCTCTCCATGAAAAAATGTCCTTGTGGGCAAGACAGCCCTGTTTCGGGCCAGATCACTCTATCTGGGGCCAGAGCACTTTAACCAGAAAGCTAACCTGATTCAGACACAGGAATTCTGAGGCTGTAATTCTTCATGGGGGGGCGAGCAATTTAATCGCTTACTTCTACCAAAACCAACACAAAAGTCTTTTGTCTCCTCTTTTCTCAAGATCTGCCAGTATAGACTTTTGTGTCCAACTCCTTATTTTAAAAGAAGACTGCAGTGATTTCTGCTTTAAGGAACGTTTTCCTGTTTTAACATCTCTTCACGCCCTGCACTGCAGACCTGTAGTATTCTTCCTAAGCGAAGGACGGTGACTGCCTTTCTATTAGATAATGTTACCACCTAATGGCCACAATGGAATGATGCTTTCACCTGGTAATTATTAGTAATGATGCAGTGGCTGTAAGTCTAATATATAGTAGCTGAACATTATTTGGAGCTGGGGAGGACCCGAGCAGGGTAGTTGTACAGTGATGCTCTGGTGACACTGATCTCTTTCTCTCCCGTGTGTGTCCAGGTTAGTGTTTAGCCATACAGGAGTGGGCAAACATGCAGACAAACCTTTGAGGACTTATTGTACCTTACAGAAATGGCCCGAGCACAGTAATGACTATATGATAGATCAGGAGAGGCTGCGCCGTGGAATTAGATTGTTCATTTTCACTCAGGTAATAACTGGGTTAGGAACATCTTAAAGTTGGTCATTTAAACTTTTATTTTTCATGTTGATTATTTCAGGTGCAGGGACAGCATGCAACATGCAATATAACTTCGCTGTTGGTAATCACTTGCTAATCAGAGATGGTAAGATCATAGAATCATGGAACGTTTCAGGTTGGAAAAGACCTTTAACATCATCGAGTCTAACGAGTCTAACTGCAAACCTAACGCTGCCAAGTCCACCAGTAAACCACGTCCCTAAGTGCCATGTCTACACGTCTTTTTAAATACCTCCAGGGATGGTGACTCCACCACTTCCCCGGGCAGCAGGGAGGAGACAGAAGCAGATAGGAGGCTTGCTGTCTTTTTTTTTCAATGAAGAGAAAACTGGGGGAGCACAGATCAGTCTTTGAAGCATGCAGTACCTGATGGGGGAGCACATTTTTCAGAGATCTAGCCTGGCCTGCTGCTGAGTAAATTGTAGGCACCTGGACAAGAAGAATCCTGGCCCTGTTGATTCAAATGCAAAGTTTGTCCTTGGGCCTAGTAAAGTCAGTACTTTACCCCTGATCGTTTCATATGAAACTTTTTTGTCACAGGACAGGGTTTGGGTTGGCCATTTCATGAGAAATAGTGCCACACTACAAAACAACAACAACAACAACAACAAAAGAACACAGCCCAATATAACCAAATCACTAAATAATTACAAAGGCACTAAATATGCCTGTGGAAAAACTTAAGACATACTAAAATGTTTAGAAAGGAGAAGAGAAATAAGAGAAATACACAGCGGGAAGAACAGAGAAATACATCCTCTCCATAGAGAGGACTTTTGATCTGAAAAAGAAAGGAGCATATTTTGTAAGATATATATTTTAATAAAGAAGCCAAAACCCTCAAATCTCCACTACTGTCACCATTTCTACACAGTTCCCATCAAACCTCCAGTCTCAATATGTGAAACAATCAATCAGTCTCCCCCAGCCATAGAGAGATCCCGCTGCCCAAGGCACAGATTGATTTCCCTGCGAGACAACTCCAGGCTAGGCTAAAAAAAGAAACAAAGTAAAACAAAGGCTGAGAGAATACCTTCATTTTGGTTTCATTATGGACAAATCCCACCTCTTCTTATTTCATCAGAGGCTTCTCTCCTATATTCATCTCTGGTTTCCAGTTAAACATCACATATTTTCATTTAAAAATAAGCTCTCACACACAGAGAACAAATCTTATATGTAAATAAACAGCACAAACCAGGAATATTATTCAAAGATCTAAGCACGTTCTCTGCATATCAATATATTAGAAAATGTATCTGCCTTTTCCTTTCCCAGACTAGGTGAGAAGCTTCAGGAATGAATTATCAAAAATTATCTAAGGCAAATTTGTGACAAGAACAATTACAATTATGAAACGTGGATATTTTGTTTGCTAGTACTTGGATTCTGTGCACAGGCAATGAATGTGCAGGTAGCAGAGCAGCCTCCCTTCTGGAGTGCTTATAACCTAATTGAATGTGTAATGGGCTCAGAGTCTAACTTCTGAGGGAAAGTATCAGGTGGTGTTAGCAAACATGTGGAAGGTGTAAGACATTTCTCTCGGACAACACTGGAACATCTTCAGAAGAATTGTTTTGGACTATGTGGATCTTTCTTAATGTAAGGGGAGGGTTTCTTTTTCTTGCTAAAAGTCTCTTTCACGAGTACTCTTCTTGATCCTGAAACATGAGTTCATGCAGGGGTGTCGGGAGATCTGAATTATGCAGGTGGTCAGCCCAGGGTGATGTCTTTTAGCCTTAAAATGAATGCATCTTTCTTGGATGTAAAAGGAAGGAAAAGACAGGTGGTAGAGTTTGTACATTTACAAATCACCTACGAAATTGATTGCTTCAAATTTATACAAAATTGTCAGCCAAAGCCAACTTTCCTTCAACCTAACCATTACCATTTTCCCATCAATTGCACGGCAGTGGCTTCAGGCCATGGCTGAAAAAGGACGGCGGCCGATGACAGTGCTACAAGGAGCAGAGGGGCCGCAGGTAAGGAGCAGAGCAGGCAAAGGATGGCAGCGTAACAGATCGTAAAGACCCAGGGGCAAGAGCGGGACCCAATTCTGCAAAGCCTTGACAAATTACATTTACTCCCAGAAGCTAAATACTTGTGCTTGTGCCTCCTGCTGAGGATGAGAGCTGGCGTGGTGAGTGGTAAGAATATGCTCTGCAAACACAGCCTTCACAAAGCAGAGTAACAAAGATGTGCATTTTCCCATCGCTACACTGAGACCCAGCCATCAGGCTGGCTGACTGCCCTAGGGCTGATCCTTCCTATAACTGAAAATCCAGGTTTGATCCACGCTCTGTTAACTGTTCAGTTCCAACGGCTTCAGCATCTTTCCTCAGTAACCATACTTGGCGATCAATATTTTCAGAGGCTGTTGACACAGCCTTAAAGGCATCCCATCTGTGTCTTATCATCAGAGAGCTTCTCATCGCCGTATATTCACATTAGCATTCACAGGGAATGAAGCCGTATTAAAAAAAGACATTGAGTATGAGACCTCTAAATAATACCTGGATGGATTTATTACAGAGTGTAATTGTCTTGCAACATCCAAATGAACATTCAGGAGAGAAGCCCCGGAAAATATCAGACCTTGCACAGTTTCTTTCAGATAGCCCTTCTGTACATCATTAAGTCTTGCCTATAGCAAGTCAAGACAAACACAGCATGTAAACATTTCTGTATTTCAGTCTGTGCTAAATAAATGTTTTTCCTAACGTTTTTTAAAAAGCAGATGTTTCCCTTTGAATCTTCATGCACTAGCATAAATCATTCTACTGTCACCTTAAAATTCTGCATGTGTACATGAATGCAGGTGAGTAAACTGCAGTGGTCAAACATGCAGGCAAGTGAATAGACCCCCTGCATGCCAAATTTTTTTTAAAACAGTGTCTGTCCATCACCGGTCCCTGCACTTGTTAAGGGACAGCGTTCTTCCACCCTATGGTTATATTAAGGAATTCCCTAAACCAGCTAGATTCCTAAAAATGCCCAGAGTCAGACTTACTCAGGAGACCACTCCTCTCTAATAGGCATTTGTTTGAGGCCAAGAATCTAGCTTGGCCTAAACCAAGACTTCGGCAGGTCTTGGCAAGAGTCCAGCTCAAAGAGTTTAGGGGCCGCCTGCTCCTGCTTTAATCGCCTGTCTCCAAAGGACGGGCACGGAGCGGGCTGCCTGGCCCCAGCGCCCTGCCCAGCCCACGGGCACAGTGTGTCCCCGCACGGCTGCCCTGGGCAGGTCACTTGTCACTTCTGACCATTTCCATCAGTCCAGCTGAAGGGACGCTGCAGCGGGGCAGGGACACGCGTGCCCCCGCAGCTCTGCGGCTGCAACGGCACCGCTGCGCCAGCAAAGTCCTGGAGCAAGTCCTGGCTTAGAACCTCACGTTGTCTGGACTATGAGTCGGTGAGAACCAGTCCTGGGAGCGGGGGGCAGCCCTTTACAAACATATTAACTGACAATCAGGTTTGAGGATTAAAAGTACACTGTGGCTGCTGCCTTCAGCTTGCTTTCAGGAACCACAGTGAGGCTGAGCTACTCAATTGTCAAGCTCGCTTTTGTTAAAAATACTTTCCCTTTACTCCCCAAACATGGCATTCTCAATTTCACCTATAAATTACTTCTTCAGTCTGCTTGTGTAGCAGCATGAAAGGCAAGTTTTGAAATGGAATCTGACAAAGGTACAAAAGTACGTAAACCGGAACTCGTCTGTGCTACAAACTTCAGCTTTCATTAAAGTAGCGATTTTTAGTTGTTTCCTCACTGGTCAGCTGCAATAAAGAAATTATTAAGAAACAAACAATAGCATTACCAGACACTCTGCTAATATTCCTCTACGTCCACTCACTTCTAATTTTTTCAGCCATTTCCTCCCCTACGGAATGTGCATTCGCACTCCCGTGTGCGCGCACACACGCGTGCACTGACGGACAAAGAGCATCCTTCCAGCAAGGAAAATATCCTGCATGAGGCTAGAGACCATTGAAGGCTAAAATATTTCTTTACGACACCCCACAGTTGTTGTCAGGGCAGGAGTAAGACGCCACAATAATTTTTGCTAAAGAACATTAACAAGTTTTTGACATTCTTCCCCTTCCTCAAGCAAATAAATATTTTATCAGTTTACCTTTAAAATAATATGCTTCCTGTCTCCTTCTCAAATGCCTGGCCAGAAGAAATGACCTTTCCTCCTGCCACAGAACAAATGTCTCTTTATTTCAGCCTATCTCACCTCCTGCAAGCGGGGCAAGAAGCGACCAAGGCTGCGAGCGTGGCAGCCCCGGGACTGCCGGGGATGCCGGGCGTGAAAGGCGCGTTTATTCCGCCTCTCCCGAATCCCAGCCCCTCGGCTGCAGGCGTCTGCCGAGTGCCTCCCTGGACCAAGTGTGGAGAATCACATTTCTGCTTAATCAGGCCGGCTGCCTGGAGAAAAAAAAATGATTGCAAGCAGATGTACCCATGTTCTCATGTGAAAGGAATTTGGGCTTTTGTGTCGGCTGTATGAGCGACTGGCTCCGGGGAGTATTTCAGTGCTCTTTAATTTCTTGCAGGTGCTGGGAGACAGTATGAGCCGGGGTGCAGCAGAGCTGAGACCCAGCACCCAAGAGGTGCACGGAGGGATGGCACACCTAGGGTCAGCAGGAGGGCCAGAGGCAGAAGGCATGACCAGCAGGCTCACCTTACTGCAGGAAACAAAGCTCCCTCTTGGGAAGACCCGTGCTCCTGGTAATTGCTGGCCGGGCTCAAAACCACGCAAGGCTGCAGCGGTAAAACAATGTTTTATGCCAGTCACGGTGGGCTTTTGCCTCTTGTTATGGATAACCCAGGAGGAAAAAACAGGATAGGCATCAGAAATATCAAAATAATTTCTCTGAATCTGTAACTAGCCAGGGACAGACAACAAGCATGGCATCTGCGTGTCAAAAAGCACTGGTTTTCAGGGGGGCAGCCCAGTAACATTGCAAATGGCCCGAGGAAATCACAGTCAGTTTAAAGAAACTTTTGAGGCAGTGACAGCTGTATTTTGGGGGCACGTTATGTATTTTTAGCGCCAGAACTGCTAAGATAAGATACATATCCAGGTGTTCAGTGGAAATGGATATACCCTTTGGATAATGCCTCAGGACATCTGGCCACATGAGGGTGAACATTCATGGCCATGGCACACATCTGGACATACAGCGGTGAAGCAGCTGTATGCAGTACATCAGGGCCCAGATGCTCCGCACAGGGCTTACCTACAGGCAGCCAGCCACACGTCCACGTTCATGTACAAGCACTAAGAAGAGAGGCTGTATTTACTGCCACTGCTTGGAAGTAACATGATCATGCAGACCTCAAAAATACCACTACTGCGGCTTGCTTTTTACTGTGCAAAATTCAGTCCACATAGTGCAGTCATTTAAACTTAAAGGAACAGGACCTGGAAGTCTGTAAAAGCTTTTTTGGTTTGGTTTTTTTTTTTTCCCTTTGCTGACTCCACAGGAAATACCAGCTCTTACTCACCATAACAGCCAAGTATGTAGTGCTTACTCGCTATGCATATAGCCATGGAGAGATCCGAATCAGGGAAGTGTCTTTGGCTGCAAGTACCCCAAGGGAAAAAAAAAGAAACAACCTCCCCATCGCTTCAGCTGATCTCCTGATCCACCCCATCACTGACTGAATGAGCCACAGCACAGTGGGCAGGAAGGCACCAGGCAGGGATGAGGACTAAGTTGGATGAGACTGAGTCACCCTGATGTCTTGCCACCACAAACACCATCTCCTCTCCCTTCATCCCTTCCAGGGGCAGTTCTCACTGCTTACACCACCTTGGCTCCAACAGCATGTATCCAGCCAGTTCAGCTCACTAAGACAGCAGAAGAATAATCCAGCAGAAGACCAACCCAGCAGCAACAGAGGCAGGCTGCTCTCCTAGCTGGCTTCGTGAGCCAAGCTCAGTGACGTGCCCCACAGATGTATGACGTGGGACCAGGGAGGACATAGAATTGGGCGGCTGAACTCCAGCGATGGGGCTCTCCTCTGAACAGCAGCAAGGGGTGAGGTTCTTCCAGCCTCCTGGAAGAACATTATCCTGAGGAAAAGCAGAGATTTAGGAAGCATTGCCACCCAGTGTGGCAGTGTAGCCATGGTGGTGGCTAACGACGGTGAAATCAAGCAGACTGGATTTATCCCTGATTTAATTGTGGAGTGATAGCAGCCAGACGCTTTGTGATAAGAGGCTGTACAAACACACAGGGAGGCATGATGCTTCTTGCTCTTAGGTGTATCCTTAAGAAGCTCTCATGACTCTTCATCCTGGATTGCTGGAAAAAGAAGCAGCCTCTGCAGAGATACCTGCTCAAAAGCCACTCGATGCCAGCCTCTCCAGTATTTTGTCCTGCAAAGGCCTTAAAATCCCCATCCCTCTGTCCTGCCCAAAGATTTTGTAAGTCATTTCCTGGCTGCCAACCAGAGCCATTTCAGGAGAGACATCCAGTCCTCACGAAGCTTTTGGGCTGGGAGGAGGAGAGACAAATCTGCCCCTGGTATCAGCCTTGCAGCAACGGGAACAAAAAGGGACCCCGGTGGCTTGGCTGCTTTTCATCATCTTGCTAACTCCGACTTTCGCAGCAAGACAGCGCACGTGTCCCCGAGCACTAATTCCCACGCAGGTTTCGGTCAGTGCCGCAGGCCCCCGCGGGGACCCACTCGTGGGGGAGCTTGGCTGCTCCCTGCTCCCACGTCCCACGGCACCGTCCCCCTGGCCAGGACACCCCGATGGCAGCGGGGCCTCGGCGTGACACGGCCGGGGGGGGGTGTTGGGATGGTTTGGGGGGGGGGCAGCTACATCAGAAAGACACGGCAGCGAAGCCCGTGGGTGTCGTGCAGCCTGGTTCAGGCGCCTTCCACAGCCTGAACATTTGGCACGTGGATGAGACAACAAGCTGCCGGTCAGACAGAAACCTAATTCTCTGCCTGTCCGGATAAAACACTGATAGGTAGCAACGCTGGGAGAAACCTTCCTTAGGACAGAAAGTGAAATTTCAGCTAAGCGAAAACTCTGCAGAAAAGGCTTTCTGAGTCTGTACGCAGCCGCCTTATAGTCCGTGACTGTAAGTCTGCGTTTGATGTAATCAAAACTTTCCTGCACAGGCCCAGTCTCCAGGAGAACAGCTCTTAAGAAATACCCCAGCTCAGAGGTACAAATCTTTGAACACTACCGCCAGTTGCTCAGACTTTTTTTCCTAATAACTAACAAAATAAAGACTACAAAAACAGTCATGAGACAAATCAAGTAAGACTGGGTAAGAATTTCACCTCGGTAGATAGCCTTGTGTTATTAAGCTGATAACTGGAGCAGAAAGCTACTTCTAGACAGATGTAAAAGGAAGAAAAAAAAAGGGCTGACGAGTCATTAGTCTGAATTACTGAAAAATGGGCAGCAAACTGACAGATAGCTTCCAGCAAATTTCTATGTAAAGGTTTAGTAGAATCTTCCCAACTAAAGCTCTGGGAGGAACTTAATTCCTGATCACTAAGAAAGGCTTGGACACTACCCTGAGGAACCTTTGTTATTTAGAAATGAGATGATGCAACTGTGATTGGAAAATGTCAGCACAAGGCGACTGCTTTTAGCACCATGGAAGACAGACAAGAAAGGAAGGAACACAAATCCTGTTCATGAAGATATTTTATTTCAGATTTCTTGACCCATATTATTTAAATAGCATGTCAGCCCAAATCAGAAAGAGAGACAGTCTCTTTTTTTACATTTGTGATTTTGCTTCGTGTTGCCTGTAATAGCAGTTAACAAATCCTGCAGTTACTGAGCTATACAGTAACTAAGTCAGCTATTTTGGGGAAATTCTTCCTGTTCTCCTGTGGACTCTGCCTCTTTTGGCTGCTCCCCCTGCCTCCTCACATTCCAGCCATGGCTCTGTTTATACGCCTGCATTTCACAAAACCAGTAGCTCAGACTGGAACGCAATTGTATCTCTCCCTTACACTAACGGCCCACACTATGAATGGCCCCTTCTGTGAGGCCACGCGCGAGCTCTCAAAGATGTACAGCATTTTGTTGAAGGCATCGGCACACAGGTACCCTGCTGCCAGCTTTATTCCATAAATAACTACAGCAGCATTTTTTTTTTTTTTTGGGGGGGGGGGGTGGGAACCCACAGCACCCCTCGTCCCAGTTCAATGAGTGAATTCTGTCAAAATCCTCCTCCCCTTCAGACTTCAATACTCGTCTAAAGCAGATGGCCCCATAAATAATACATCCTAGGAAACACGATCAGCCACCTCTGGGATATGCTTGAGCTCCTGTCTCTCATCATATCATCACTAGATTAGCTCTGGGAATTCTTTTAATTTAATCCTTTTAACAGGTCATGCGCGCAAGAAGCAGTGGCTGGGAAATTAGACTCATTCGGTTGGGCTACATCATCCGTTGTCTGGACCTGGCAGGTCCCTGCTTGCTGCTTTCGGGGGCTTTCACCACCACGATCGGCTGCCGACCCCTCACTGCCCGAGCCCGGGGCCGGGGAGCCCAGGACTGATGTGGCTGAACACGGGGAGGCCAGGAGAGAGGGGCTGGGAGACGGAGGATCTCAGCAGCACCGTCCCACACAGCCAGAGCCTTCGGCAAGGAGAGCCATCCTCCGAGCAGGGAGGCACTAGCTGCCTTCTGTGGGAGTGGAAAATGTCATATTCATTTTAGGATGTAAGACAGAAATCTATAAATTCCATTTTCTTTGCCTTTAGTACGCCCCGCTGTTTCAAATGACTGGATATAGCAGGTGCTCGGAGGGGTCCCACAGGATTTATTCTCCCCGAGCCTCACTCCAGGCACCTGGGCAGAAATACTGAGTACCAGAGATGAGGTGGGTCCTTCCTACAGTTCCCCCTGTGGTGATGCCAGCCTCGGGTCCTCCTGTCCCCCTCCCTTCCCTCCCCAGCTCCAGCCTGGGCTCCACGCACAATTGGCACAATGGCAATCAGGGCAGGCCCAGCCTGGCCGGTCAGGTCCTTTGCAAGCTGAATGTCATCTCCCCCAACGTCCACTGTGCCGGGAAATGTGTTTACAGCACTGCTCTGCGAACAGCTTCACCAAAAAGACCCCAATTAAAAAAAAAAAAAAAAAAAAGACCCTTCCTCAAAGCAAAGCAAGCAAAGGAAAACCTCCATTTGCTGCTGTTAAGCTGGAGCTTTGCAAGGCCTCGGTGGACAGAGCTGCCGCCCCGTTTAATCCACACAGTTCAGGCAGCAGCAAGCTGTGGTGCAGAGGATGGAGAAACGGGACCCTTCAGAATGATTTCCCTGCCAAGAAAATTGCATTGCAGCCCTACATCCCGAGACTCCATTCCGGGCA